CCCTGAGGCTGCAGTGTGCCTGGAGCCACGTGAGGGGCGCTGCGGGGTGAGTGTCACGTAGGATCTCTAGGGAGTGGGGCTGGAGTAGAGCTGGCTCAGGGGTGTGACAGGATGGACGTGCTGAGATCACCGCAGCCCCTGCATGAGGAGGGGAGCTGTGGTCTGGCTGGGTAGGGGCGGTAGGGAGTGATGGCGGGGAGCTGTTAAGGGCTTGCAGCTTCGCACAGGAGAGCCGCTGGTGGCTCTGCCTGGGGGCCATCGTGGGGGTGAAGAGAGAACCGATGATGCTTGGAGCCTGTGACACTGACCATATCTTTGTTTTGTCCTTTGGGAAGCGGTCTTGAAACAGGACCCCACAGAGTGATTGAAAGCAGGTTTCACATTTCCAGGCTCTCTAGGAAGCAGGAGGTTACACAGGTCCTTGCCCCTCACCCTCCTGCCCCACTCTCGACCTTGGTCCTAGCCTCAGAAATGAGGTACTCCCAGCTGTGCACTGATTGCTGAGTGATGTATAGTGGGTCACTTACCTTCTGGAGAATCAGTTTCCCCGTTTGCTCCATGAGAGGTGACTGAGGTCCTTCCAGCCTGCTTGTTGCTTGTGACAGGAGGAGAGGAGCCATCAGCACCAATTTCCTGTTATTATTGGATGTCCATTATTACTGGAAACAAACAGCGGTGTCTGTCCCTGTCTCTGATGATTAATGAGAGCCCATCCTTGTTCGTTTCCGAGATTAAAACACAAGCAGACCTCCTGCGGCCGTTCCCTCCCTCCCTGCTTCCTTGAGCATCAGGATGGAGGAGGAAATGGCGCCTTCTCTTCTGGCTCTGACTCAGCCCCCATCAGCGGCTCAGTTCAGCAGGTGCTCCCCGAGGCCACTCTGGGCTGCTGTGGACACAGCTAAGCCAGACGTGGTTCCTGCACTCTGCAAGGGGCTCATCCAGTGGGAAAGCAAGCAGTGGACACAGCATCACAGTGGGTGGGGAAGAGATGTGCAGGTGGCCAGCAGTGGGGGTCCACCTTGGGGCGAGAATGTGGCATTTTAGCTGAGTCTTGAGTGATGCTTTAGGTTTGTACAGTGAGCAGGGGAAGGGAAGTGCAGGCAGGAAGCAGGAAGAGAGGCATCGAAGGGCTGGAGGTGGAAAGAAGCTGGGTTTGAGAGGGGTGAGGGCACGTGGGGACAGGAAGGTGTCCACATCAGCCTTCCAAGAGCCGTGACGGGAGGCTTGAACCAGAGGTGGTGGCTTTTAATGAACTTAGTTCAGTCCCCTTCCTTACCTCCCTGTAATGTAGAGACTGGAAAACAAACCTTTCAAATTCCCAGGTTCCCTTACAGCCAGACACATGCAACCCTGTACGTGAGCTCTGGCCAGTGAAAGGTGGGTAGAACTCCTTGGAGAGAGCCTCTGTATTCTAATAAAAAGACAAAGCCTTCCAAGGAGATGGTTTGCAATTTTCAGCCTTTAGCTTTTCTCTTCCTTCTGCCTGGGATGTGGATGCGATGTTTGGATGCACAGCAGCTATCTTCTGACCAGAAGAGAGAGACACTCTTGCGGGTGGTAGAGCAGGAAGCTAGAAGGAACCGGGTCTACATGAGTTTCCTGAGCACCCCACCAGCCCTGAGCAGCCACACGGTGTGACTGAACATACAGGGGCTGGTGAAGTCCCTGACCCACTCAGGGAGCAGGAAGGCTTTTGGGAGCAGCTGGTGCCTAAAGGCTGTTTAGAATTTGCCACCACCTTCCCCTAGGACCTGTGTTTGTTAACTGGGGTATCCTCGGGGCCTGGCCGGGGGAAGCTGCCGAACACCTTAATACTGCAAGAGGGACAGATGACAGTGGCAGCAGCAGGATGAGAAGTGTGGGAACTGGAGCGGGAAGGGGAGGAGGAGGTGGGGAAGGCTGGGTTTCAGGAGCGACACTGGGGGTCTGCTGGATCAGTGGGTGGGGTGTTGAGTTTGAGGCTGGAGAGGGACACTGGAATTTGTGAGCAGAGAGTGGGCGGGAGAAATGGTGAGGAAAGGGAAGGCTGCCGAGGGCTGCCCACATGGAGTCTCAGGAGGCTGCTGGGGAGGAGGCAGAGATGGGAGGCCACTGGTGGCAGGTGGGACAGAGCATTGTTCCCCCAGGAGGGTCCTCACTGGGCAAGACTCTAGAAGTGTCCTGGGGCTGCAGTCACAGATGAGCACACACCTAGGCCTTAAAACAATGGCTGTTTAGAACTTCCAGTACTATGTTGAGTAGGAGTGGTGAGAGAGGGCATCCTTGTCTTGTGCCAGTTTTCAAAAGGAATGCTTCCAGCTTTTGCCCAGTCAGTATGATATTGCTGTGGGTTTGTCGTAAATAGCTCTTATTATTTTGAGATATCATCAATATCTAGTTTATTGAGAGTTTTTAGCATGAAGCGGTGTTGAATTTTCTCGAAGCCGCTTTCTGCATCTATTGAGATAATCATGTGCTTTTGTCAATGGTTCTGTTTATGTGGTGGATTACATTTATTCATTTGCAAGGGTAAAGGGGAGGGAGAGCATCAGGACAAACACCTAAAGCGTGCGGGGCTTAAAACCTACATGACAAGTTGACAGGTGCAGCAAACCACCATGGCACATGTATACCTGCGTAACACACCTGCACGTTCCTCACGTGTATCTCAGAACGTAAAGTAAATTAAAAACAAAACCAAGAAAACAATGGATGTGTAGTCTGTCTGCTGGAGCGGGGGAGCCTCCCTGCCTCTTCCACCTCTGCTGACTCCAGGCAGTCCTCGTCTGGGACACCTCACTCCCATCTCTCCCGTCTTCACAAGGCCACCTTTTTCGTTTGTCTGCGTCTTTTTTCCTCTTCTTGTCAGGACACCAGTCATTGGACTTAGAACCCACCCTAAATGCAAGATGCTCTAGAGATCACCAATCCCATCTGCAAAGACCCTATTTCCAGATAAAGTCACAGTCTGAGCTTCTGGGGGGACAGGAACCCTTGGGGTAGGCTGTTCAACCCACAAAGGGACTCTATGTCAGGCGTGGGCCCCAAGGGTTTCTGCCCCCAATCCTGCTGGAGGAAGGTCATGGCAGCTGGGCTCTGAACCTCCCCACCCCAGCCACTGGCTTTCTGGCCTCCTCCCCTGCAGGAGCTGCCATTCACTGACGTCTATGCCAACCACAGCTCTGTTCTACTGTTTCTCATCGTTAAGCTCCCGTGCCTGAGAAAGTCTCCCCTACCCTCCCAGAGAAACGTGGACAATGCTGATAATGAGATCTGCCATCTGACATGACTTGTTTCCGAGTGTTAGAAGTAATTTTCTGCCTGGGAATAATTAACTCAAAGACCTGGGTGAAGCAAGCTAAAAGCGGGGGAAGTAGGTGGTTGAAAGACTGTTGGCAGAGGACCACAAACAAAGCCTTCTGCACTGGGAAGGCACGCCTGGGCCACGCAGAGGCCCTAGGGACCCAATTAACCTCGGGTCTTCTTTTTCTGACACCCACCGGGGGCTCCATGGGCTGTGACACCTTCCAGGGGCTTCAGCTCTCCAGTGCTTCTGGGAAGAAGGTAGAGGCTCAGGGTGACCTGAGCGCTGGGGCCGAGTGACGTGGGTTCAAGTCCTGACTCCAGCGTGGCTGGCCCCAGCCTCGGCTTCCCCTTTTGTAAAAAAAAAGATAATGGGACAGACCATTGGGGCATTTGGGTCTGTGTAGTTCCACGTGACCCTTCCATGAGGGTCTACACGTGTGATGTGTGAGCCAGGGCCCAGCACACAGTAGGTGCTTAGGGAAAGTGGCAAAAGTGTGGGCTGAGTGAAGGCAGGAGTGAAGATGCATGGGAAAAAGTACAAAGTCTGGACTCAGTTGGATTCCAGCCACTTGCTGAGCAAGCCACGAGGCCTGGGGCAAGCCGCGCAATATCTTTGGGCAAATACAATGAAAAGTAATGCCACAGGGCGGCAGAGACAGAGGTGAAATGGAAATTGTCCTGCAAATTGTCAAGTTCGGTCCATCTGTGTTTTACTCATAACAATAGGAAAACCCCAGTGTCCACACCCTTCCTGCTAGACCAGCACAGACTTCTTTCCTGAGATGGAGTGTCACTCTGTCACCCAGGCTGGAGTGCAGTGGCACGATCTTGGCTCACTGCAACCTCTGCCTCCCGGGTTCAAGTGATTCTGTTGCCTCAGCCTCTTGAGTAGCTGGGATTACAGGCACACACCACCATGCCTGTCTAATTTTTGTATTTTTAGTAGAGATGGGGTTTCTTCATGTTGATCAAGCTGGTCTCGAACTCCTGACCTTGTGATCTGCCTGCCTCAGCTTCCCAAAGTGTTGAGATTACAGGTGTGAGCCACTGCGTTCTGTCTAACATGGCCTTTTCTTGTTACCGTGGTGGTTCCCAAAGTGGGGTTCCTGAGCTAGCATGCATCAGCTGGAAACTTGCTAGAAATGCAAATTTTAGGGCCCCACCCCAGGCCCAGTGAATTCTGGGTGGGGTGGGCAATCTGTTTCACAGCAAGTCCTCTAGGGGATTCTGATGCATGCCAAAGTTTGGGACCCACTTTTATCACATGGGCCCCCCTTTTCCTGCTAGAGACCCCCAAACATGTTTGACTTCTCATCTTAACCCTCTTCTGAGCCTCCAGGGCCTCCTGGAGGAGGTGGGATAGAAACTTTGTTCTGAAGGGTGATGTGGCTAAGGTTGCCAGATGTCCCCCCCAAGTACCCACTCTCCCATTCTTCAGGGGTCAAACAGGCCCAGAGCTTTGGAAATAAAGCACTGCCTTTGCCAGCTCTCTTTACAGATAGGTGTAGCCTCAGGATGAGGTTTTGCCTAAGATAAGCAGCCTTGATGATTAAAGGAAACTAGTTCAGCGGGGGAAGGGGCCCTTGTTAACTGTCTGCTTTTCCTCTTTCTTCCAATCTGCAAGGAGGATGTTTCGGCTGGAGCTTCAGCAGCCATCCTGGATCATGAGGTGACTTTGAGGACGGAAGACATACGTTGAGAATGGTATACCACTGTCCTGGATAAAGGACCAGCCATCACTCCAGTACTCAAGGGCCTAATTCTGAGTTTTTAAGGATGGGGAATGGCATCATTTCATTTAAGCTCCTCTTATTTGAGGTTTTTGTGTTATGTAGCTAAACCTATTCAGGGAGAGAGAGCTTCCCATGGGCAGTGAGGTGCCCCTGGAGGGTGCCAGGGGGCTGGGGGCTGCAGCTCGGAGGAGAGATTGGAGGTAGCAACTATAGTCCAGTGAGGGGCTCTGCAATGCCCAGGCCCGAGGTGATGGGGTCTTAGCTGATGTGATTGTGCGAGCATCTTCTCCTGCCCCTGAGCCAGAATTGTCCGGTACCAAGACCAGCTAGACTGTAGAGACCCCCACCCAGGCAGCACTGAAGGCGTTAAGAAGCAGACACTCAGAACAGCAAAGTGGGACTATCAGGGCCAACAGCCTGCTGAGCTGACAGCTTCAGGGGCTGACACATTACGGGCTGAGAGCCTCAAGCAGATTCTGACCCACATAGTCTCTCTGAACAGGTGATTATTATTAACTAACAGGTGTTCTGTGTTTTCTCATAGAACCAAGATAAACTAGGTAGGCAGCTGGCGCCCCCTTATCACTGATCACGGACAGACTAGAAAGCATTCTCCATGAGGGAGCCACGGGGGCAGGTCACATATCCAGTGCTGAAAGAATTGTTTTCACCAGTGTATGATGTACATATACTGTCTTGCTACTTCAGAATGCCCCAAGCTGTTTTCCACTTAGTCAGGGAGCCAGGTTTTCCTTGCCATCGTTCTTCTTAGCAAACAAGATAATTTTATCATACACTCAGCATTTCTCAGCAGTCCAGCATGCAGTGCAGTGGAGACTATGCAAATGAGATGGGACCAGGATTTATCAAGGAATCACGTAACCCTGATGGCATCCTAAGCCATTAGGTGGTACCTCCAGGTAAAGCAAAGGGGAGGTGCTCTTGTCACCAATTTCCCAGAGGGACAGAGACCAGCTGAGTTTCAGGGAGAATAGGAAGGGTTAGAGAGACCCAAGGAGGCTGCAGAAAACCTCCCAGGAGTCCCCAGGCTGGAAGCTCCAGGGAGTGTTAGGGATGACTCCAGGCTTCAGGGCGGCGAGTTGCACCCCCGAGGAAGGATTCGCTTCTACATTCATTCCTTGATTCAGGCCCCAGACCTGAAGAACAAAGGTCTCCTTGCTAGCCCTTGTGGCAAGTGGCTGGATGAGAACATCAGCTTATGTTTTCTCTGCTCCCTAAGGTTTGACCCGGGGCTTAGAAAGAGCTGGTCCCAGACAATTACTTAGAAATGCTGAGACCTGCTGGGCACGGTGGCTCACGCCTGTAATCCCAGCACTTTGGGAGGCCGAGGCAGGTGAATCACGGGGTCAAGTGATCAAGACCATCCTGGTCAACATGGTGAAACCCCATCACTACTAAAAATACAAAAAATTAGCTGGGCATGGTGGCGTGTGCCTGTAATCCCAGCTACTCAGGAGGCTGAGGCAGGAGAATTGCCTGAACCCAGGAGGCAGAGATTGCGGTGAGCCGAGATGGCGCCATTGCCCTCCAGCCTGGGTATCAAGAGTGAAACTCCGTCAAAAAAACAAAGAAATGCTGAGACCTGCAGAATCCAGGGCCCAGGGTCACTCCTTTTTCTCCTTATCCTACAGATGAGGAAACTGAGGTGCAAAGTGCCCCGTAAAGCTATAGTGGTGCCAGGACAGCACCTGCTCCCAATCCCTGCCCAATGCTCCTGGCATGCTGCAGGCTGTGACCTGGACTTCCTGGAGGCTGTCTGTACACACAGAGGTGGGTGACACCTGAGACCTACAGAGGGGTCTCTGCTGGGACCCGAGTTCCAGGAGAAAGGGGAACTTAGTGTGTTTGTGGGGGCATGTTCCCGAACCCACCACATACAGGGAGTCTGAAGATTTTGTAACTCCTTTGGAGCCCTGGCGTCACTTCCCAGATGCCAGCAAGAGTGGGGAGCCTGGTGCAGTGGCTTCTGCGGAGCTTCAGACTTGTATTTCGGGCCCCAATCAAGTTCATGCTCTGAGCACTGAGTGTCAGCAGTAGGCGGGGAGAAGAGCCCAGGAAGGTGGGGAGCCCAGCTTTGAAGTCCCCACGGGGAGCAGTGCATGCCGGCTGGTGGGCACCATGGCTGATGGTTCCAGCTCCCTTCGGTCTGGGCTTTGCCGGCCACGCCATTGGTTCCCTCTGTCAAGCTCATCCTTGGTCTGTGGCATAGTAAGTAGCCCTGACTGGGAACTTTGGGGACATGAAAGGGTCGGGGCACGGCCCAGTGTGGGAGAATGGCTTTCAGAACAAGGAGAGCATCTCAGGAGGTGAGACCCATGGGCAGCAATGGAGGTGCAGGGGGTGTGGGGTCCCGAGCTCCATGCCATACCAGGGAGGCAGACAGAGGGGCCGGGTTTGCATGTGCCACTGGGTGAGTGTTCACTGACTGAGCAGTTGCATGTGCCTGGGGGGTTGGTGAGATGGAGGAAGAACGGATCTCTGTACCAGACTCTACTGAACCGTGTGGCCTGGGTGACTCCCAGGGCCTCCCAGACCCCAGCATCTACTGCTGTAAAGTTGGGGAAAGGACAGCCTACCTCGAAGATTCTGCTGCAGGTGGGATCTAGGTGGGAGGTGCCCAGCCCACAGGGTGCAGCCTGGCTTCCCAGCCAGAGCCTCGGGCTCCCCACCTCTGCTTCTTGCACGCCACTCAGGCGTCCGTGACCATTTAATTTGATTCAGGGTGGGAAGTCTGTGTTTTTTTGGTGGCGTTAGCATTGACGGTCTATTTCCTGCTCAGGACCCAGTGCCGAGTTGGCACTAATGTAGAAAAATTAGTATTATCAGGGCTGCTTTCACACTGCCATCTCTCACACTGCAATCCGTGACACGTTAATTAAACTTGATAAATGCTCTTGTCTAAAGATAACGTTTGAACGAAGGAACCAGTCGCCCACTTATTAGCTGGCTACAGGCTCTGGTAAATTGCCTGGGAGGCTTTTGAACTCCACAGGGCCTGTGACTGGGTACTGCGGGGCTCTGTCTTGGGAAGTGGGCTTCTCAGCGCTCCCAGCTCTGGGGACAGGCAGTGGTGCAATGGCAGGGCACCCCACACATCCTGGGGGCTGGGGAGGGCACTGTGGACCTGGAGGGCAGGATGGGCGTCTCCACCCAGCTCCCACCGGGGGCTCCATCCTCTTTTGCTTTGCAGTTCCCTTCACAAGCCCCTGCCGGCTCAGCACCCTGCCCTTTCACCACAGCAACCCCATCCTGCATGGACTACCCATCAGGAAGCCACAGATAGGACAGTTGTTCCAGAGTGGCGTGGTCCTTTCGGCCCATCCTTCGGTCGTTTCATCTTCACACTGTTCAGCTCCTGGTCCCCTCCTCCCTCCTTCTCTCTCTCATCCTTCCTCCTCCTCTTCCTCTTTACCCCCGGTTCTGGAAAAGCTGCCTATTTGAGAAGCTGCTCCCAGAATCTCAGCAACAAAGCCTGGCCTTCCTGGAGCCCAACATGAGGGACACCTGAGGTCACAGCCGTAGTTCTGTGAAACCATACCCCAGGCACCAAGTGCGGACATGAGGGGCTGCAGGATGTCACCAGGAGCAACGGCACCACCTTGAAGGCCCCCAAAGGGAGACAGAGGGCCTTCTACACCAGGAGCAGGTGTAGAAGCATGCAGGTGGTCTTTGCGGGTCACTAAGACCTTTATCTGTCCCTGACCAGGGCTCTGGCTGCTCCAGCCCCACCCTCTGGAGCAGGCCTTCTAGGATACCCAGCAAGGGCTGAGGCTTTGACCAAGGCCTGTTTCAGAGGCACCTGTGCAGGAACATGCCCTGGAGGCTTGGGCATCCTGCGATCTGTTTGTGGCCAGGTGGCCCCGGGCAGACCAACCTGCCTTGATGTTCTCAGCTGGCCCTGCCTCCCAGGGATGTGAACATGGGAAAGCCATGGGCATGTCCTGGTACTGTGGCTTGGAACAAGAGCCCTGCCCGCCCTGTTCACCTTGCCCAGCACGTGAACATGAGGACGGTCCAGGCCCGAGGTTGCTGCTGTGACCCCACCTGCTCCGACTATACCACGTGGCACAACAGCCAGCCAGAGTGACAAGGACACAGAGAGGTCGGCAGCCCCTGCGGCCGCCTGCTGTGGCAGCTGTCAAATCTCTGGGTGTGGTCAAACCTTGTGTTAGGGGGAGACGGCATCAGCCTCGGGGTCTGGAGTCGCCCCTACCATGGTCCTCAGGTGTTGCTGTTCACTCGGGGTGGCTGGAAAAATATTAACTATTGGGAAATATAAATTGTAATGTCAAACCTTGTGGAAGGCGGGAAGGTTTTATTGGGGCAGGCTGAAGGCGGCAGGTCCATTAAGTTAGGGAGAAGATAGGGACGAGGCTTTCCCAGTTAAGTCTGTTTACCCCATATTCCTTTGTCTTTAACTCTACTCATGTAAACTTTGTGCTGATGGTCCTTTCTGGGAGATCACAGGTGAATTACCTGTTAATAGTATTTACTCTGGGTCCGGAACCTAAAGCTATTATCATTCATGTAACCACCCTTTTAACCATGTTAATTATCCACGTGTGTTGACTTAGAACCTCTGTTATGAATACATGTGTAGATGGACAGAGGGTTTTGGTCTATTGGTTGCATTTTGCCTTCTGAAAGCAGCTGGCAGTCATCCCTAGCCCACTTGAATCAGTGTAATGGTGTGAGAGTGCCTTCACTCATCCGTGGTTGAGTCAGGGTCTGTGGGTCAGACTTCAGCACACAGTGGCTGACGTCTGGTGGTGACCCCAACGTGATCAAGGTCACACTCGGGCCTCTCAGCCTCACCTGCCTCTCTGGTTGCTCCTCTCCCTTCTATTCCTCTTGCCTGCAAGCTGCAGACACAGCCGCTGCCTATCACTTCACACTTAGGTTGGGCCTAGACCTTCTATACAACCTTGGCAGATACCGTTCCTTCTGTCTGGGTTGCCCTTCCCTCCTGCCCATCCCTGTCACTCTTACTCATTATTCATCTCTCTGCTCAAAGCTCACTTCTTAAGGAAGCCCTCCCTGATGTCCCTCCCGGTCAAAGCCTCTTCCCATAGGCTGTGTTGGTGTGAACTGCATTAAGCTGTTGGGAGCAGAAGCTCAGCCTCAGAGGCTCAGGCAAAGCAGGAAACCCTGCTTTGGGATCACAGCAGCAACCCTATCACCCATGAAGGGACTCGGGGGGTCAGCGGTTTGGGGCTGGGTTGGTGAGCCCACAGAGGCAACGAGGATGCAGGCTTCTTCTGTTCTTCCTCTACTCAGGTCACCTCATGATCACAAGGTGGCTGCAGGAGCTCCATCTTGCCTGTGTTCCAGGCAAGAAGAAAAGAGAAAGGGCTGAAAGTATCATCTCTCTTAGGGGAGCCAGCTCCTTTACCATCTGGAATCAACATTGATGATTTCCGTTGGTCCTGGCTGCAAGGAAGGCTGGGATGTAAGTCTTCAGTTGGGCTCTGTATGACCTCAGTGAAGGCAGAGTCCCTCCCTCCCTTCCTTCTTCCTTCCTCTTGAGACAGAGTCTCACTCTCACCCAGCTGGAGTGCAGTGGCAAGATCTTGGCTCACTGCAGCCTCTACCTCCCAGGTTCAAGCAGTTCTCCTGCCTTGGCCTCCGAGTATGGGAGTATGAGATTATAGGCAAGTGCTTGGTTAATTTTTTGGTGTTTTTAGTAGAGACAGAGTTTCTTCATGTTGGACAGGTTGGTCTCAAACTTCTGACCTCAGCTGATCTACCTGCCTTGGCATCCCAAAGTGCTGGGATTATAAGAGTGAGCCGCCTCACTTGGCTGGCAGAGTGAGTTTCTAAGGAAGAGGGAAGGAGGGGCACTGGGCAGGCCCTTGGCAGCCTCTACCAGGAAGGCTTTCCCAGCCCTGAGTAATTCTCTTTGTAGCATGTCTCAATTGCAATTTTATATTTGCTTTTTTTCTTGACTTGTTTGATGACTGTGGACTCCACATGGGCAGGGGTTTCCATATTTTCTATATTCCCTAGCAAATAGTAGGTACATAATAAAAATTTGTTGAATGAATGAATGAACAACTTTTCTCTGTGTCCCTAGGCAAGCTCCTCACCTTCTCTGGACCTCAGTTTCCCCATCTGTAAATCAGCCCATCTCTAAGCCTCCTCCTGCTTCTCAAGCTTATAATGCTGTCCTCACCCAGAGCTTCAAAGATCAGACAGGGTAAGGTGAAAGGAACATTTATTAGGCACTAATTGTGTGCCAGGCCCTGTGTGGGCAGTGGGAGCTTGGAGGAGGATCTGACAATATTCTGGCCTTCCAGAGACAGAGTAAGCAATTCCATAGTGGGGCCCATGGCAGACACAGGGAAGCCCCTGAGTGGTGAAAGCCAAGAGGAGGCACCTGGCCCTGGATGGAGGATCAAGGAAGGCTGCAGGGGCCTGAGCATTAGGTACAGAAATAATAGGAGGCTGGCCAGGGGCAGTGGCTCATGCCTGGAATCCCAGCACTTTGGGAGGCTGAGGCAGGTGAATCACCTGAGGTCAGGAGTTCAAGACCAACCTGGCCAACATGGTGAAACTCTGTCTCTACTAAAAATACAAAAACTAGCCAGACACGGTAGTGGGTACCTATAATCACACCTACTCCAGAGGCTGAGGTAGGAGAATTGTTCTAACCCAGGAGGTGGAGGTTGCAGTGAGCTGAGATTATACCACTGCACTCCAGACTGGGTGATAGAGTTAAAAAAAAAAAAGACTAGGAGGCAAACATTCCATGTTCCAGGCAAAGGGAACTG